CAAAACCGTTATGCACACAACAGACCACAGGCTAAGAAAATTTAGATAGTTGGTTACTATTTCCATTCTCTAAAAAATGTGAAAACTGTCCTGATTTTTCCCATTTCGGCCTTCTAACTGGTACTTGGTTCTTCTGGCATTACTATGTCCTTTGTTTAAATATTAGAACAGGAAAGTGTGTGTATACTTCAGCACTTTGACAAGCCAACATTTTTGGCTATTCTGGAGATCTTTTATTACTCTTTTGCATTGTGTGGAATGAATGCGTTTCTTTATACCAGTTCTTCCTGTCTGCCCTGTCCTTGGCATTAGTTCAAGTGTTAAATCATGAGCAAATAATGAGCATATAATAACAAGCATCCTTGCTTGCCCTTCCCTGTTAGAGAAGGTAGGGTGCTGTATTATGCAGATTTTCAAGCTGAGAGTTAGGACAGGGCATTTATGTGGCTTAAGTGACTGAAAATAAACAGAAATCTTTCTGAGTGGGGTGGATTAACTTTTCTATTCAGTTGTACAAATTATACTGAAAGTTTAGGACCAAATGTCCCACAAAGTCAAAAATATTTACAATCCGGCTCTTTGCTGAAAAAAGTCTGCTGATCCCTGAAATATCGCTTTGCCACCAGCGAATATACATACCGTTATGGTGATGTGTGCCAGATGGAACATGACCCTGAATGTATCATGAGATGTAGTGCAGATGAGATGACTTGCCACTAGTAAGAGGTAAGAGGCAGATAACATGGTATACTGTCAAACTAGCAACAAAGATGACATGTGTGCTGCAATATTTGAGGACTTTGTCTCATAGGTATGTAAGATACTGCTGGCAGGGCAGCACACGGCTCTGCTCAATAACACAGCATTGAAGAATGAAAGAAATAAGGTGATGCTGTGTAGATATTCTTATAACTGTAAAAATGACTGTGTTATAATTATTTCTGACTTAGCTAGTGTTGTTTCTCAGTCCCATTAAGTGTATTTAAATGCCTTCAAGAGTGTTGGCAAAAAAAAGCTAGTCTTGAAAACTGAATTATGAATATAAAAAATGTTGAGAAGCCACTGTTTTAAACTACTGTTTCAGCTCTCAACTCTAACTCATGTGGACTTTTGACTAATCCCTATCAGCCTCTGATTCAGAGAGTTCAGTGTACATTTGGGAAAATAAAGAAGCTGAATGAAAGCTAAAGATGAAAAGGGTCTTCTTTTCCTTTTTTTCAGAGATAAGACCTCTCCACAAAAAACTATCCTAATCCAACGAGCCATGCTATGCTTTGGATCATGAATGCCACATTTCTGTTGGACCTTGAAATCATCTGCCATCGCATATCTGACAATCTAAAAGAACACATCAGATTGTCAGAAGAAACTGAATAGACAGCACATTTTTTTTTTTTTTAGGACAGACTGAGACGAAAACCATTATGAAGTTTTTGCAGACTTGCCAGGAATGTATGTGTGAAGAAGGAGTAAGGGAACATGGAGAGATATACAGATCTCTCCCCTTCCCCAAAATACCAACCACAATTGCACCAGACTTGGGGAGAGATTGAGAGAAGAAAAGAAGGAAGGGGAAAAGGAGAATAAAGTGGGAAAGGCACATGGGAGGAGCCCTCTGCCCTGCAAAAATTTATAGCTACTGAAATGAAAGAGCAAGAGGAACATCCCACCCTTCTTCCTCCCCCACCCCTCATAAGTATTGAGTTTAGCAAGTTAAGCTACTCAGAGAGAAATAAACTATGACGTTACTGAACTTCTTTGTCTTTTCTGTGGAACATTTCCCAGCTAAATCCCTCCAAGAGAACATGGAAGTGGGGATGTGCACAGGGTGTGGCAACGATTGCATAATTCAGCTTCTCAAAACAAAGCAAATCTTCACAGGCACAGACATGCAGGTATGTTAAAAACAAAAAAAAAAGAAAGCGAGAAAGACAGAGAGACAAAGAGAAGAGAAAAGGAAGAGGTAAAGAAAGGTCAAATGCATTAGTTGTTAATTCTCCAGATTATTTTCTCTACCTTCCAGTATGTTGGAGATCAAAAGTGTTGTAAAGACCAACTCATGGTCTATATCTAAAGCTAAGTCTTTACACTATACAAAGAAATGAAGAAAACTTAGAGTTACAACTGATACATGAGCCGATGGAAGCAGTCCATGCAGAAGTGTGATTGACCACACTGGCCACAAAGGCTCACCAGTCTCCAAACTGCTTGGAGCTAATTGTATTCTTTCGTTCAGAGTGAGTCAATCTGGCTAACTAGGGCTCATTGTAATCCTTGGTTTACACTCCCTTCCCCACTCCCAAATCTTCCCACATATCCCAGTGCTATAGAAACAATGGGGCCACTGGCAGGTATCATCAGTCATCAAAAGACAGAACAGGTGTCAAAGCAATCCTGTTATTGCTGTTATGACAGTTTGACACCTGAAAGACAGGGCAACTTCTATGGAGACTTTTTTTTTTTTTTTTGCGGTACACGGGCCTCTCACTGCTGTGGCCTCTCCCGTTGCGGAGCACAGGCTCAGGACGCGCAGGCTCAGCGGCCATGGCTCACGGGCCCAGCCGCTCCACGGCATGTGGGATCCTCCCGGACCGGGGCATGAACCCGCGTCGCCTGCATAGGCAGGCGGACTCTCAACCAGTGCGCCACTAGGGAAGCCCTCTATGGAGACTATTTTTAATCTTGATTAAAAATCCTGATGAGCATAAAGTCTATGATGTGCTTTGAACTTCCCTCTTGGTCCCTGTTTCATGTCACTTCCCATTTCCCCATCTCCTGTTCTTATTTGTATGTCCCTGCCATATTCCTTCCTGTTGCCAAGTTCATATTTATAGAAACTTTATTTAAAATTGCTTGCATGGTTTCCAGAGCCATACTGAAAAATGCTATACAAATCTCACAGAAATACTAGTAACAGTACAAGTGAAAAGTGCCTGTATTTTCCCAACTTGCACTGTTACATCCCATAATTTACATCTACTTTTCCCTAAATCTTCACTACACTTTAAAGTAGCACCATTGCAGTGACACATTACCATTTCACGGACAAGGAAAAAATATTTGTATGCTGCAACAAGCACAGAAGAGAGGCTTGTGCACTCCATACGGAAGAAGGTTGCTTACCTGCATCATGTTAAAGAATAGTTCATCTAAGGGACTTCCCTGGTGGCGCAGTGGTTAAGAATTCACCTGCCAACGCAGGGGACACAGGTTCAAGCCCTGGTCCAGGAAGATCCCACATGCCGTGGAGCAACTAAGCCTGCGAGCCACAACTAGAGAGCCCACGTGCCACAACTATTGAAGCCCGCACACCTAGAGCCCGTGCTCCACAACAAAGAGAAGCCACCACAATGAGAAGCCTGCGCACCGCAACGAAGAGTAGCCCCCGCTCATCGCAACTAGAGAAAGCCCACGCCCAGCAGCGAAGACCCAATGCGGCCAAAATTAAAATAAATTTAAAAAAGAATAATAGTTCATCTAAGAGAATAAGTCACAGAATAAGTCATTAGGAATGTTAGTGACCTCTGGGTAAGAAGAAAAAGAAAAGCTCTGTCCTGGTTTCTGTCAGCAGGCTATAATTTCTTTGCAAAATATCTTTTCCCAGTGGTTGATAGAGACCTGGGACTTCTGGTGCCAGCCAGGATAGAATGAGCTTAGTTTAGCCTATCTCTCCTTCTCACTACAATTAGAAACTCTGATCAAAATACAAAAAGCACTACGTCTGGATAAAATACCATGGCAGGAGGAACTTGAAAAACAACCAGATAGGCCTGAAGGCAGCAGGATGAAATTATTAAATTGTTGAAAGGGAAGAACTCTATACAGAATTCCATATATGTACAACAAAAATATCCCTCAGGAATGAATGTGAAATAAAAAAGATAACAATCCTAAGTATTTACCCAAGTAAAAGGAAAACCTATATTCACTCAAAAACCTACACATGAACGCTTAGAACAGTTATATTCATAAATGTCCCAAGTTGGAAACAAACCAAATGTTCCTCAATTGGGGAATGGATGTACCAAGTATGGTACATCCACACAATGGAATACCACTCTGCAATAAAAGGAGATAAATTACAGATACATGCAATAACGTGGCTGAATCTCAGGTGCGTTATGCTGACTGAAAGAAGCTGGACTCAAAAGGATATACTAAATGATTCCATTTGTATGGCATCTGGAAAAGGCAAACCTATAGGGATGGAGTGATTGCCAGTGGTTAAAGGTGAGGGAGGGGCTTGACTATAAAAACCTAGCTACAGGGAATTTTTTTTTTTTTGCAATTGTATTTCTTGAATGTGGTGGTAGTTACATGCCTCTATGCATTTGTTAGAATTCACAAAACTGTAACCAAAAAAGTAAACTTTACTGTCAACTTTATATATTAAAAAACAAATTAAAAAGAGAGAACTTGAAATCTTGATGCACTTTTCCTAAGGAAACTTTGACATTTCAATTATCTAACTCCATGTACGTACATATTCATAAGCAGAAAACTGAATCCCCAATATAAGGACTAACTGTCAAGCTTTAATTGAAAACTTTGTTATAAATAAACTAAAATCTATTTGGTCTTCGGATGTTTTGGGGGAAGTCCAGAAACCTTCAGGATAGAATAGTACCACCCGTGTCATCAATGTAAGATTTTGACATAAATATTAAAATTCTTGCTAGTTATGTAAACCTTTCCAATTCCATACACAAATATGCGTATATGGTCACAATATTTATTTCTGACCTGGTGTTTAAAATAAATAGACACTATCATAACTGTTGCCACACACACACACGCAATTATTATTATATTACTATTATTATTACTACTACTACTATTAAGCTGAAAAACAAAATCATGCAATTAAACTATGGGCTCAGCCTTGCTTCTTCTAACACTGACCTAGCAAGATTTTCCTAATGCCTGCCATACTGATTTATACCCTGTGGGGACTTGCGAAATAAAAATATTTGCGTGTTAAAGATTAAACTTTAACCTACCCTGTCAAAGAGTGCAAAAAGTTGTCTCAAGACATCTGAAACAGGCAGCTTCAAATACTCCGCAAATTCTTCAATTCCGATTCTTCCTCCTTTAGAGGAACTTGCAATAGCGGCATATTCATCCAAATGCTTACGAATCCCATCCCAATCTAATCTAAACAAAGAGTTATGAAGATGTATTAGCATTTTACAATCCACATGGACATTTTGTGAGCTTTGTTTTATTCATTTGTCTGAGGGAAAAATATATTCAGTGTCACATTTGAAAAGGAGAAGAAAACGAATTTTTAAAAAATTTTTTTTGCGGTACACGGGCCTCTCACTGTTGTGGTCTCTCCGGCATGTGGGATCTTCCCAGACTGGGGCACAAACCCGTGTCCCCTGCATCGGCAGGCGGACTCTTAACCACTGCACCACCAGGGAAGCCCCCAAAACGAATATTTTAAGGCACACTTTGAACGTGGATACAGACTTTTAATTTTTTAAAGGATATTAGCATAACTGTAATTATCCCAAATATCTGAGGGAAAGAAAAGTAACTGGGAAAAGGAGCAATGAGGTAAGATAATAAATGACTCATGAGAAGAAAAAAAGAACTCACATTTTAATCTAAATATTACTTAGTAAGTCAACAGTACTTACTGAGTTGTTAAAAAAAAATACAATTCTTGCTTTCAGGCTTTCCGGATGATAATTAACTCACATTTCACAAAATGTTGTGATGGGGGATTCATTAGACATTGTACACTTCCTCCAATATTAGTTATAAAACACTTTAAAAAACACTGGAAAATATACTGTAGCTTACATCACATCCTGTAGAATTAAACAGGTGACAACACATACTTCTACATCCAATTTCAGTAACTATCTAATTTTTTCAAATCTATTGGAATATTGTAAAAATATAACATCAAAACGTTGCTATCTAGAAGATATAAATAATGTTTGCTACATCAGTTATAAAAAAATATTTTTTAATATTGAACTTTAATACAGTAACTGGTTCTGCAGCTCCCTCCTAGGGAGGATGCCTAGGTCTACTGAGTTAATAAATTCTGCAGATCCCTGTCAGGGCTGAAAACAATGAACTGTAATCAGAGAGGGATGTGGGAGTTACACCTTCATACCAGGAAGTTCAAAGAGAGTGTTCTAAATGGTTTAAACCAGATCATAAAAATCACAATTTTTTTTTTTTTGCCTTTAAAAAAAAATTATGTACCCAGAAGGAGAAGGTTGATCTAGGGAAGTATTTAAAATTCAATGATGGTCAGAATTGCTGCTCTACAAGTCAATTCCTATTTCACATGAGGAGTTCTGACCACCTCGTGCCAGTACCATTTAATTATGCCATCTTTCTTATAAGAAGGTGGCAGGACCAACTACTCAGCTGTTTCTGGGTAGGGAGGCAGATCTGTGCTGACTCATGTTTACTATCTCGTTCTCCTCTCATGACCAACGCACATATTTCTGAGTTAGCTGCTCTTGAAAAAACAAGACTAGATGAACTAAATGGGAGATAAATTCACATCCCTGGCTTTCTTAATAAACACCATGTAGGTTCTAGAGTTTGAGCATTAATGAAACCAGAGAAAATAAACATAACAGGATTTCAGATCTCTTTTAGGACACCTTTAGGAAAGTGTGGTAATTTTAAAATATGCTTACTTCAATTTCCGGCTGATTTTGGTAAATTCCACCAACCCAGCTTCCATAGGCAGTGTTAGCTGTCCTG